TTTCTTGCTGGTCGCCAGAGTGTTTACTTCGGCTGTTGTTCATGTTTTTCCAGATGTTGTGGCCGCTTGGCACCACAAGTGCGGTCCCACACGGAGGGCCACACAAGCTCGGATGAGTCCCACTGCGATGTGGAGAATCAGTTCTTGGGGCTGTCGAATGTGACCCCCATTTTTCAAAAATGACTGCGAGGGTTTGGGGTGAGGCCGGAAGCTACGCGTTTCGCAGTGATATGACCGTTATGCTTCCGCCAAGCCAGGATCCGCCCACCACCCAACTTCCGCGTTTCACTCTGTGGATCAGTCCACATCGGCTGCACAATGTCCGAGTTGCCTGAGTTTAAAAGCCAAAGGTAGTGACGTTGCCAGCCCGAGATTGATGATATTGGAAGAGCCTGTGTCAGGCGTCTACCTCAATGTTGCTCAGGATGTTGGTAACGGGCAGCCTACCCCTTGTTTCCAAACTACAAAACCCTAACCCCTAAGCCCCAAACCCCTCATGGGGAAGCTGCTTCGAGCCTAGACCTTCGAAGCTTCGATGTCACCTCAAAGATGCAGGTGGACGAAATCTCCTACCGCCTTCAGGATGAGCGCATCCGCTGCACCAGCATGCACGGAGGTTGGGACTGCTCAGTTGAAACACAAGCTCGGAGAACATCATCGGAGAATCGCGGACGTGTTCCGAGACTGATAGCTCTATCACAGCAGTGCTACTGAGGTGGCGCTGCCAGAATCAGTCATGTGTTTGGCTGGCACGGCGCATCTGCTTACCCGTACGTTACGCATCATTCACGGGTATGAAGATGCAGATCTGGTTTCGGAGAATAAACTCATATGATCATATATGACCATGTGTATGTGCATTCATACCTTACATATTCAGATATATATATATATATGCATGGTTTCAAACTCGCACATAGCTAGTTACGTATGTGTGTCCTAGATGCATGTGGATGTGCAGAATATACATAATACAGGTTGTTTTATCTACAAGCATATACACATACATATGTATGCATATGTATGCATATGTATGCATGCATGCAAACACACACACACACACATATATATATATATATATATACATACACACACTATCATGTTATCATACATGGTATATGTATATATGCATCTATTACCCAAGCTGAGCGCTTAAGGCGAGCAACCCAA